AATGGAGGTATTGTTCACTCTTTTCTACTACCATAATTTTTGTTGTGTTTTGCTATGTCATAATATTCTTGTTCATTTTTTTAAACAATAGTTCATTCTTACATCATTTTGTACCATTTTCTATCTCAGTTGTAATCCCCGTGGGCTTCCCATCACCAAATCACTAGTGTGCCATCACCATAGTCCAGTGCACTTCCCCCCACTGATTTTGATACCATTCCCCACTCCACCTCCGTAAAATGTCTCTGGTATATAGCTGTTTATTATTATTATTATTATTTTCTCTCCTAGTCCTTTATACTCCTGCTATGAGTGAAACCATCTGGTGTTTTTCTTTTTCTTTCTGACTTATTTCACTAAGTATGATCCTTCCAGCTCCATCCATGTTGCTGCAAAAGGCATGTGTTTATCTTTTCTGATTGCTTTTTTGATTTATATCCATTGTGTATATGTACCACAACTTTTTAATCCAGTCATCCACTTTTGGGTATTTGGGTTGATCCCATGTCTTTCCTACTGTAAGTAAAGTAGCAATAAATAACACCATGATTTTTTTAAAGTTAACCTTTTAAAAATAATATTTATTTATGCATATAAGAACTGGGGTGCAGGCCAGACGTGTGGGGGTGGGGGGAGAGGATGCACCAGACAGAGTGGGGAACAGAACGGACAGAGTTAATGAAATACACTGCTGAGGGGAGTGGTGAGCGAGACAGGAGAGGTCTGCTGTGCCATGTGGGTCACCCTTTGGCCAGGGATGGAATTTGTGCCGCAGTGGCTTACCAGCTTCATAGTGCTATGCTTTAACCTTTTGCACCACTAGGGAGGCCCCTAGAGTTTGCTTTTGTAAAATGAAACTTTATGTGTCCTACAGGGACTTCAGTTGGTGTGATTTCATTTGGTGATTCATTAAAATTTAACTCATATAAATATTTTACTAATTGTAATATGTTGTAAGTTGCCTTATATGACCTTTTAATAAGCATCAAAATTTGATGATCCAAATGTAAACGAAGACTTAGTTTTGGTAGCTATTGAAGTTATTGTGTGTTATTCTACTTTTGGTTATTCTAAATTTCACTTAATTTGATAATATCTATTCCTTTTGCAGTGATACTTCCTTTTCCTCTCAAAAATGTTACTGTCATTCATAATGAAGAATAACTTCTAGGTTTCTGACTAATTAGGAGAAATCTTAAAATCAGTTCAAAATGGAAAGTAATATTTTTAGTAAAAGTAGAAAAATTAAAAAAGAGAAACAAGCCATACATAGGTGGATAATGTGAAATTATTTTAGAATTATTAATTCTTAATGGAATATTTTTGTTTCACTCTGCCATCTCAGTTCACGTTTAGCCTAGACTTCTCACTGTATAGTCAAAATTTAGAAAGTATAGGAATTATTTGCTGAATGAGGTATCAACTGAATGAATGGTAATATAAAACACAATAGTTGATGCATGGTTAAATCATTTAAGTGACATAGAAATAGAATTAGGCTAAGATTATTATTTTTTTAGACATTATTATTTTTTGTCCTTAAGAAAGTCGATTAGTCCCTCCCTGGTGGCGCAGCGGGTTAAAGCACAGCTCTGAGAATCTAAAGCCACTTCCGCATGAGTTCGATTCCCACCTGCCCCGGAGGTGACCACATGGCGTGGCAGACCTCTCCTGACCCGCCCGCTGCTCCCCTCAGCAGTGTACTTTGTCGATCAGCCTGTTCTGTTCCCCACTCTGTCTCTGGTGAAGCCTCTCACCGCCCCTGAGCCTCTGGCCTGTACCCCAGTTCTGTATACACAAATAAATAAAAATAAATCTTAAAAAAAAAAAAAGAAAGAAAGTTGATTAGTCAGATTGCCTTAGATCAAGCAAACTCATCCATGATTCTGGGGTGGGAAAATGAATTTCACTTAACTTAGTAGCTATTACCCAGTAGAGGACAGGCAAAATGTTAGGGAGGCAATCATTACCTATTCCACATGACCCATAAGTCGTATAATTCAGTAGTTTTGCTCTAGGATAGCCTTTCCCAAGTCATATGAAGTGGAGAAAAAAAAAATAATACCCCTTTGGCTTTCTTTCCTATGCCTTTATTCTAGGAAATCTTAACCTATTCTCTCATTCTGCTCATATTCACTAGTCAGCAGTTTTATGTGTAAGGAGCTGTATTAGACTTGGGATACAATCCTGAATAAATCAGAGATGGTCTCAGTGTTAATAAGATTCAGACATTTTAAGAGACTTTTAGAGTGAGAGGGAAAGTGCAGAGTGATTGTAGCACATGGAATAGCACCTCACCTGGATGCTGGAGGCTTGGAGGAGGGTTAGGAAATGCTTCCTGGGGAAAGTAACATCTAATCCAAAGCTGAGAGGATGAGCAGAAATTAGGTGGGCGAAGACAGCTTGGAAGAGTGCCTGAGCAGATGGAACAACAAAGCAAGTCAGGGAATCTAAAAGTAGCTCTGTGTGTCTGAATCATAAAATTCAAGGTGAGAGAAGAGGTGGGAGAAGTGAGGAGCATCAGGAAGAACGTGTCATCTATGTAAAGGAGTTTTGACTATTCTGAGAGCACTTGAAGACTTTAAACAGAGAGAAAACATAATAGATAATGCATTTCTGAAATTTCTGTAAAGTGAAAAATGAATTAAAAGTGGACTAGGGTCTGGTCAGGAGACTGCTATAGTCCAGACCAGACAAGGAGGTAATCATAGCCACAGGAGTACAGTAAGGAGCAGATTTGGTAACTGTTTAGAAGTTGGGCCCCAGCCCAGTGTTAAAAGAATAGATAGATGCATGAGATGGACAAAAAGGATGGACATCGGGCAGCAACAACAACAGACTTTTTAAATTCAGGCAGGCAAAAGTTCAGATCTTGACTTAGGATCCAAGATCATTAATTAGTAGTAAAAGGGAGTCACAGATAACTACCTAGAATAGTTGCTTTGGGGATAAATAAAATTCTCTGTGTCAAATCCCTGATGCAGAATAACAAGTTTAATAAATTACACATTTCAATAGATTAGGACAATTTTTGAGTCTCTATTTTGCTTTCTGGAGGAACTGGTTGAATGAAGAGAATAGCAGCTGGGAATCCACTGGCTATAAGTTACAAAACTTTGGGACAACAGTTAAGCAGATACAGGGTGCACTTGTACAGTAAGAGGCCCATAGCTGAGTGGCCATTGGCATTAATGTAGTCAGGACTGAGCCTGTGCAGTTATCTTTAGCTTTACTTCATGGTGGCAGCATAGCTGCTGAAGTCCCAGCCTACAGCCTCACACTCGCAGTGTGTCAGTGTTGAAGGGTAGCAAGCATTAGAGAAAGGCACCGGGTTATCGATTGTCTTGAAATGGGGTGCACAGGCAGAGAAGCAGAATTTGGCGAGGGATAATGAAGTCATGTTTGAAAATACTTAGTTTTACGTTTTTGTGATATAGTCATATAGGAATAAGTTTTTAACAGACAGGCAGTTGGATACCTTGGCCTAAACTTAACGAGAGATACCTGAGATTGAAGGGGAAGGTTAACTCCTGTGGGGTGTATGTGAGGACCCACAGAAAGTGTGTACATGGAGAAGACAGTCAGGACATAGCCCTGGCACAGAGCACCAGCACTGAGTGACTGAGTAGACCTCTAGCCGCCTGAGGAGTGGACACACAGTGTGTGTGCTGGAAGACAAAAGGGAGCGAACAATTTCAGGAGGACCTTGTCCATCACATCAACAGCTGCGTAAAAGCTAAGAGGCAATGAGCAACCTTGAGAGACTAGAGAGGGTAGGGGGCAGAAGGGACATGAGAAGAGCAAAGAGGAGATGCAAGCAGTTCCTTCCCTGCTTTTTGTTTGCAGAGCCCACGCTGAAAACATTAAAATATTTGGGGCTACATAAAATTCAAGTTTGATATTGGACTGAAATGGTTGAGACCACAAAATATTCTTATTGTAATTGATATTCTATGCAGAATATCAATTGGTTGATATTAGAATCCAGAAATGGTTGAGACACAAAATATTCTTATTGTAATTGATATTCTATGCAGAATATCAATTGGTTGATATTAGAATCCAGAAATGGTTGAGACACAAAATATTCTTATTGTAATTGATATTCTATGACTACTGGATTAAGGTTTAGGGAGTTTCCTTCCAGCTGGGAAGGAAAAACATGAAATGCTTATTTAAACTTAAAATGCTCCAAATCACGTAGATGTGTATGAAGTTGTAAGAATGTGGTTTCTGGGGAAAACTCGCTCTTTCCTTTCTCCCCACTCCCTCATGCACACTCCCAAGAAAGTGCTTTTCAGAGTAGAAGGTTTAAAAAAAAAATGTTTTGCTTTCTTTTATGTCCACTTCTTATGGGATTAGCTCTCTGAAGGCTACAGATAGTGAAAGTTTAGAAAAGTAGTAACTTAGCCTACTCAAACTCCCTTTTGTCTATTTCAAACATCAGAATAATAACTCTCAAAACATTTATTAGAGAGACTCCTCACCTCTGGTAGTTAAATTCTCAGCGCTGTCTGGATGTCGTATGTTACTCGTGGCCTGGAGATTAAAACCTTCACGAGTCCTCTGCTATTTATAGAATTATTAAATGGAAGTTTTTCAGTTACGCTTTAAGTGCCGGGGGTTAATCAGTCAGTGCTGCAGTACTTCTCCATCCTCCTCCCCTCCATCTTGCCCCGTTTGGGGACATTCTCCCAAGTGTGAGACTGTTCTTCGGCGAAGGTGGGCTGAGCAAGGAGCGTGACGCAAGAGTAGGCTGTGTCCTTGCTGTGAGCGAGCCAGCGCCTCAGCTCCAGGCAAAAAGTTCCCATTAGCAGCGCAAATTCGTGGCGGCCGCGGCTGCAGGCTGGCTCTGCGCGTCCTGCTCGGCACGCCCAGGTCCTGCCTCCTTCCTGGGCAGGCGTCAGACGCTGAGCGGCTGAGCGCACATCTCCAAACATACCCCAGTTAAGCTTCATCTGTATTCTCAAGCTCTTCTTGCTAATCAGCTAAACGGGAAAATGGGCACGGGGGATTTTATCTGCATTTCCATGACCGGAGGGGCGCCCTGGGGTTTCAGACTGCAAGGTGGCAAGGAGCAGAAACAGCCCTTACAAGTCGCTAAGGTAGGCCCGCCAAAGTCTGTTACCTCGTCACTGTGCTGGGAAGGGACCAGACAGACAACCTGTTGGTTTTTCAAGGTCTGATTCGGAAATCTATATTTTACTTTGCTTTTGGCGCTGATGATGTGTTTCTAGGATGTGGGTTTGTTTTTAATGTAAAGAAAGTCAGGACTTGAGGATGCTTCTTCTAAGTCACATTCGAATATATAGTGGAGTTAAACTTCCCTGGTGTCTCTTTTCTTGGCTTCGGTGGAAAAGTGCTCACTTCAGCATACCCAATGGACTTGGCGATTTCCAGGGCTCTTACAAAGAATTGGTAGTGATCTTTATCATGCATCGTTTAGTAAAAAAGGTCAGTTTGGGGGCAATGATTTTTAAAGTATGATGATGTCAAAATGTATTTGAAAGAATTAAAGGACTTGACAAATAAGTGCAAAACTCTAGTCCAAGTACTTTGTTCTAGCACAGGAACTCTTCTGGTTAAAAACTGGACACAAGTTTCAAAGATAATCAAAATACACTATAAATGACTTAGGGGAAACATTGAAATAAATGTTTGCTGCTTTCAGATTGTTTGTTTCTTAGCTTGCTCTGCAGCCAGTTGGCTGAAAGGAATCTGATAGTATCCATTTGGGATTTAGCTAAAGTTTTAAACTACATAACAATAAGCAGACTTTCACTGGATTTTCATACTCAATTGTGGCATTGTATTAAATAATATATTTGCTTCACTTTCCTATTTTATATTAAAATGGAGCTATATCTTTGCAAAATATGACCACCTGGTTTTGTAATTTTTCTTTACCTTTGGTTTTAATTTCTTTTTTAAATCTTCACTCTAAAGAAAGGAGATTCTTGGAGATGTTCTGCTCTCATACATCCTCTGGAAAATCCTTTCATAATGTGATGGTGGAACCCTGCCACCTAGTGAAAATTTCAAGTATCAAAAATGAAGCAGATAAGTTGAAAAGCAGAATTTGGAGAAAGGGAAAGTTTCTCAGAGATCTGCAGATGAACAGGCTACTTTTAATGAGGAAAGATCCCAACGATGTAGGGATCTAAGTAGCTGGTGTTTGGCTTCAGTAGAGCAGGATGATTAAAAGAAGCAGATCCCTGGTTTCACTGTGTTGCTTCAGGACTCCGGGGCAGGCACAGTCAGGCCAGCATGGTTAGCATGGGCAGAGAGTCCTTGAAGCAAATTCATTCTGGATCTAGAATAGCAGTTGGCTGGCTCCAGTTACTGAGATTTGGGTCCTATTTCCAGTGCTGATCTAATTTGCAGGCAGGCCCGAGACCACTCCCTCAGCCTTCCTCACTCGTGTGCGTGTATGCATGTGCATAGAGGGAGAGAGACAAAGATTCTGAGTGGGATAGAGAAGAGAAAAGTGAGGAAGAAGTCAGGGCCTCTGTCATTAGTGGGATTCTGTGTTACTGGAGAGTTCTACTGTCCTAACTCTATACGATTTCAGACTTACTTGCCTACCGGTTACACAGAGTCAGTAGAGCTCTTGTTCTAGTGGCCCTTTTGTAGTTAGAGCTTGAGACCAGAGTGGGTAGTGTGTTTCTCCTGACCCCTTGAGGTGCTTATTTCTAAGTGGAACCACCACAGCCATTCTTTGAAGAATTGAAGCTAATTGCTAGTGATGTGTGCTTCTAGGCATTTTTTTTTTTTTTTTGCTAATGGTGTCTCATTGCCAGGATTCAGAGATGTTGTTAGGCTGTGTGAGGTTCAAAAATTCAGTCCTGCTCTCCCCTTTCCAAGTCATCGTCCCTGAAACACATCTGTGGTGATACATCTGTGGTTTCAAAAAAGTTATTATTAAAGCATCTGGATGTTTGTTTAATTTTCCGATTTGTTATACAAAAATTAAAGCTATTCTTAATTTAAAATTATTATTGTGAAAGGTTTTGAATATTTCCTTGATTCTTCCGTGTATGAGAAAGAGAGGCAGAGTCAGAAAGGAAAACCACAGCTTACAGACTAGTTTTTTACTATGTGTTAAAAGCGACTAGAGGGTCTTCTAAAGAAGATATAATTTCTAAATAACTGCTTTCTTTTGCTAGCCTATATTTTCCCCTTAATTTGAACATATTATATTTAATTTCTTTTGCTAGCATTATGTGTTCCAGAAAACCCAGAGTACTTGTCACTTTCTATGTTATCAAGGCCATGACCTATCAGGGCTTTTTTTATTATTGTTGAAAAAAATAAGTCAACTACAGTACATTACCTCACTGGGTTAAGGTAAAGTGACTTTTGCTTGGATCTAGATTTTTTTCCTCTTCCAAGGTATAACTTACGAGGGCCAAGTTGCCTCCAAATAGGAGGATGTAGGGAATGAGATAGAAATGCTGAGTGTGGAGTGGCTGCTACAGAGAATACCTCAGGAATTAATGAAAGAATATTTCCCAAGAAAATAAAATTTCAGACAATGCTTGAATGAGAGTCCTTAAAATGAAAATGCTACAAAGCAATTATGTAGGTAACAATATTTTTGGACTATAAAATAGCTAATGATTTGATTTTCCAATTAAACTGTTGAGAATTAAAATCTAAAAAGTTTAAATAGCAAGAATGATCAGAAAACAAATGCTTTGTAATTTCCAATAAAAAGCCTTTTAGTGACCCCTTTAAGAGGTGTTAAAGTGTTTTTAGTATTTACCTGGCTGACTGCACTGCCAGCAAACCCCTGCTTTTAAAGACCATTAGTAGAAATATTAGTAATTGAGAAACTTCACTGACATTGAAGTTCAAGGCCATGACATTCTGCTTTGCTTTTAGAAAAAAAAACTGAATTTGAAAAGGCCCGGTTAATCAGTAGCACTAGCCTGGCTAAATATATGTAAGTTTTAATTTATTTTCTAAGTACATGTAAAGGGACGCAAACATATCTAATACAAGCTCAGGTTAATGCTCTACAAAATATGTTTTCAAGAGGTTACACATACACAAAATTATCCAGACATAGTTAAAATATAAACCCCATTGTGTGGGCAGATGTTCTTATAAAAAGTATGTTAGCACTTTCACTTCACAAAACTCTCCTTTCTAAAGCATGTACTTACATGGCTATGTCTTTGGACTTGCTCTTGGCAAATCACTTTGGAAAACCTTCTTCATCTGAAGAAGTGGGGAGAAATTTCTGTTTTGCAAACAAATCTGTTGAACAATTCAGAAAGTAACTGGCATTTTGAAAATAATGAACAAAGAATCATTCAGACTATTTATCCTTTGTGCTTAGAATTGAAAACTTTCTTCAGAATATCTAGACCACTGTGGTACTTACTCTTCCATTGACTGTTAATTGAACATTTCAGATAACTGTTGTATTAAAATTGAGATGACAAATTATAATCAGCCACTTCATGAGGCAGGAGTAGACTTAATGACTCATCTATTGCTATTTTACTATCTTTAAATTTTTGAATTAAATTGCATTATTTAGGCCAAATAATGTAATTCTTATCTGCAGTGTCTTCTGTGAACTTCCTGAAATGTTTCAAATCAATTAATTCCAGAAACATTGTTATTTCTAAAGGGGAAAAAGAAAGATTTTAATTGTGTGAGTTTGTACATTTGACATAAATGTTCCTTATTAAATATAGAAACTAGTAGCATCTATTTTACAAAATATGACTGATCCATTCAATTTCTATAGGTTCTTAACACTTTCAAGAAATTCTAAAAACAAGTAGGTATGCTTATAAAAATCAGCTAGCTAAATCTATGAAGCTGACGTTACATGAAATGTGTATTTTGGAATTGGATGTTTCAGGACAGATCACTATTTATTAAAAGACCATGAAATACAGTAATGACTATTCATGAATTTTGCTACTATCTGAACACAGTTCATATGTAGCTTGCATATCTCAAGCCCTTGTCCTGTGTCAGGAAATGTTCCAAGTGTTGTACAAGGATTATCCTTTCAGAGTATACCTCCCCCAACCTTCGAAGTAATATAAAATGTATCCTTATCTCACAGACTAGGAAACTGGAGCATGGAAAGACTTGCCAAAGGTTAAGCTATAGAAAATGGTGGGATTTGATTGCGGATCTGAATTCTTCTAAATTGGTAGAAGTAGTTGCCCAAGATAGATGCCAAGAAAAAGGCAGGTTAAGCTTATCCTTACTAGGGAGTTTATAAAAAAATTAATATAGTCTTCATCTAACTCTCATTTAATTGCTCAGGCAATCCACTGGGATGGAACTTTGTATACACTGCAGTGGTAATTTTGATATGGGGTAAAGATTCAGAAAGTGGTAGACTACATGAGGCTCCACAGGGTGTACTGAAGGCTGGCGTGGCAAGGCCTTCCATACTTCCCCCACAACCCTTGCCCAAAGAACATAAGAGCAGGATCACAAAGAAGTCAGGAACTACCCAAGTCCTTGATGTGACCCCATGTAATTTGTGTTGGGATGGTTTTCTTTTCTGATGTTAAGGTTGGTGGACTGGGGGAAAGAGGAGATGCTGGGAAATTCATGATTGATTATTACAAAGATTGGGGTGCCTATAAGAGGGGGCATTACATCTTGGTAGGATGTCCTCTTTGTGAATGCAGTTTCTGGTTGATCTAGTGCTTATTTGTGCAGTGAAGTGGGGGGGGGAGGGTAGGGAGAAGGTAGATGGGAAGAGTAAAACTGGAGAAAGATGTAGAGGAATGGGAGATTGGGGGAGAAGGGAGTGAGGGTGAGGGAGAGAGTGATTGTATAGAAACTTGCCTGTTTTCTATGGGTGGATGACTATCACAGAAAGTACTGAATTTGAGCTCTTGCTGAATCAGAAGATCAGATTCAGCTAGAGGCATGCAGGAGCAAGGTGGGATCTTAAGGGTCTGCAGTGGTCTTAGAATGAATATTGAGTTGGACAGAAGTTCTATTTTGTGTGTGAAGGAACTGTGCAGTGGCAAAGCCTCACAGAGTTCGCCCAGCACAGGAACCCCCACCAACACAATGATGGCCTGTCAACGTTACCAAGAGGAGTCAGTGGTCAGCAGAG